AACCTCATGGGTACAGTTAGACAAACTATGAAAAAAAAGGAAGTATAAAATAAAACACAAAGAAATTTGAATGTATAAAACCACACATTTTATATTAAAGAGTTGTGGGGAGGGGTACGCAGAAATTTAAAACACAAGTAATAAAAAATGAGAGTTGAGGTCTGCTATCATGTCCTGTACTATTGTGACTCTCAAGATGGCTTTGCTCCTTCCACAGAGTCTAAGGACTATTTCATTTCTTTTTTAATTTGGACAAATACTCATACAGACCAGCCTGGCCTGAACCTTGCTCTGTAGCACAGCTGGTCTCAGATTCATAGTTCTGTTTTGTTTGCCAATCTCAGTGTTGAGATTATAGTCATGTGTACCACACATGTGTACCTGGCGGGGACTATTTAATCTTGGCAGTTAACTCCACTTAAGTTTATCTAGGTAGGTGTATGGATTGAAATTGTCAGATGAATTAAATTTCTCCACAAGGTTGTTATGTGTTTGTAAGTATGTGTACATATTATATATACATTTTTACTTGGAGAACACACATGTGTATTTGTATATACACATACATACAGTCTCTCTTTAGATGTGTATACAGTCATGCATTAACTGTCTTGTCTTATTAATATTACCTGGGAGAGAGAGACTACTTACTGGCACACGGCTCCGTGCAGACTATTAACATCTCATGTTTGATCTCTGAACTGACTTTGATCTTGTCCCCACTATTTGATCCCAAGGTTACTTTATGGGATGGTTTGGACTATTATCTTCAATTCTTCCTTTCACAGTAAGGATCACCTCTCATTTCATCAGTCCCCCTTTTACCTGAGACCAAATTTCACTCCCATTAGCTGACCTCAAATGCTTCCTAAGTAGCTGTAAATCCCTTGCAGGAAGGTACTAAAGCCTTTCATCTTTCCAAACTGAGTACACACCTGGATTCTTGCCTCAACTGTTCTAAGAATTTAACAAATGGATTGTTGGTCAAGCTAATTAATTATAAGTAAAACTACTACATAGCCTATGTCTCCTGAGCTTCTAGTTGTCTCTTCCACAGCAGTAACTGGAAAAATGCAGTTTCCTGAGAGCCAAGCTTGACCTTAGTTAATACTGCTCCAGAAAAGGACCCAACATTTGGATCGTATCAAGACAACAGTTTTGTCTTTTACTAATAGCCACATATAAAATACCATTTGTTAAATGAAAAGAAATGGTTTTCTCAAGTGTCCTAACCAAGGCACAGTATAGAATTTTTACAAGATTTATCTTTGATAGTTAATGTGTGCAGTTTATGGGTGTTAAGAGATGTTGGATCAGGAATAAGGCTATGAAGTAAGCGTGCAAATCTGGAACTAGACATTAAGTAAGTTAGTGGTACTCTCCCAAGCCTGAGGTGCTCTAGTTCTCTAGTTATCATTTCTCTTCAGCAACTGGGCTGGTTCTCAAGTTTATTAAATATGGCCTGAATGAAAGTGTCTGTGTTCCTATATTCAATTATCTTAGGACATTGGGAGTAGGAGTTAGCAAATTAGTGTAAACAAGAACTAAATAAGTTAGTAATGGTAAACACAGCTTTTTAAAAGGGCCAATGTTGAAATACAGGCTTGTGCACTGGAGTATCCTAAAGCAGCATTTAGTCTTCATCCTACAAATTCAGATTCTGGGCCCACAAGGGCCACTGTTGAGAGGAAAAGAATAGAACTGAGTATATGCACAGATGGAAATCCTGGCCTAAAGAGAGTGTAGCAGGCAGTCCTTTCTTTCCAGATTTGGCAATTCTAGAATTCTCCTTTTGAAAGGCAGGCAAGAAGAAGAGGCAGCAATGAGGGGGTGAGATTGGACAGCACCATCTCTGGGTTCAGTCTGCCACACATGGCTTCATTTAATCTAAATGATGGCTCCATAATTCAAACATATTTTTATATAAGTGACTACAACCTCTATACTCTGTTGAGAACAGGCCAACTTGCTACTGAGAAGACATGCCCTCTTAGTTCCGTCTGGCTTTGTGGAATTGTGATTTGATGCCTTAACCCTAGCAGGAGCAGCTTGTTTATACCACTCAAACTTCACATGGTTACGGCTTATATAGCCTTATGTTACTCAGTACAGACAGCCTCACTTCCATCAGCCCTGCTACTATAACCTGTTAGGTACAAGTGAACTAGTCAGAATTTGGGCCTTATGAGCCAGGGCAGGTAGCCAGATGTGTTATGCATGAGTGTGCACACGCTGTTCTTCCCAGAGCAAGTCTGCTATGAGTGCCAGTGCAAACCAAATGGTAGAGAACCTTTCCCTGCCTCTCAGCGGGACAGACACCTCTTCCCTGCCATGACTCATGCTCCCATAGACTTCACATGTGTCTGCTTTGTGAACATTGCAACGCCCTCCCTTTCCCAGCTCAGTGTTCCAGCGCTGCCCTATGTTTAGTTTATACACCACACAGTGTTCTCTTAAGTGCTCCAAGCAAAGGTTCCAATATTTCAATGGGCACTGTGGTGCCTGAGATCCAATTCTGAGCTATTTTCACTCAGATGTCCACATTTTACTGTGACGAATACTTAGAGTTTTTTTTTTTAAAGTACTTTATAGTTTTAAAAAAAAAATACTTCCAGGCCTTCTAAATGGAATATAACAGAAGAAATGCAGAATATACATAGTAAAGCATGCATGCACGCATCAGTTACCAATCCTCAGATAATGGGGATAGAAGTATAAAAGCAATGTATACTCTCTTTAAGGCTCCCAGTCTCTCAGGACTTGCTAATAGGTAGGAGGTACACTGCCGTGTCAGCAGTGACTGTCTCCTGGGTGAGCTCAGTTACTAGAGACCTCAGGCTGCCACAAAAATGCAAAACACTGTAAGTAGACATTTAAGAAATGTCTGTCAGTGGCATAAAATTCACATTGAGAGTGTAATTTCACTATGATGTTTACATAGTTTTTGAAGTTTTATGTTTCCATGGTGTTTGTTGTTGAATTTTAGATTACAGAACATTTCAAACGTAACAAAATAGAATTAGATAATGGCCCCCTCTGCACCGTTGCCTGTTTTTAAGTTGCTAATATCTTTTCAGTCTTGTTTTACCTGAGCTTACTTTTTTTTTGTTCCCTAATATTTTAAGGTGAATTTCAAACATTGTTAACTCCTCTGCAAAAGCTTGGCATATATTCTAACATATGATGGTTTTTTAAATATTATTGCCATACCAAGTTATACCTCTAGAATTAATAATTTCGTGATATCCAGCAATTTCTGATGCTTTGACTATCTTAAAACTATCACCTAATGGTGATGGGGGGGGTGATCAACCAGGAAATGCTTTCCATGAGACATGAAAGCCTGATTCCCAGCAGCCACATGACAGCGAGGTGCTGCAGTTCACATCTGTAACCCCAGCACCGAGGAGCGGAGAAACACAGATTCTGGAACTTGCCTACTCATCAGTCTATCCCAATTGGTGAGCTCCAGGTTCAGTGAGAGACTGTGTCTCAAAAGATAGTGAGGCAAATGATGGAGGAAAACATGCAGTGCACACACACACACACATGCATGAGTTCTTGCTTGTACATATGCACATGTACACATACAGACCATGTAATAGACACACATAACAATCACAAATAGCATCTTACAAATGGATGAGAAGGTGACTCAGAGGGTAAACTTCTTGCTATTCAAGAATCAGGACCTCAGTTTGGATCTCTAACATCCATGTAAAGATCAGGCACAGTGGCAAACACCTATAGCCCTAGTACTGGAGGGAAGAAAGTTTCATTTCCTGCTAGACTAGCCAAAATGATAAGCTCCAGGTTCAATGAAAGACACATCTCAAAAAATAAAAATCAAGCCGGGCGTTGGTGGCACACGCCTTTAATCCCAGCACTCGGGAGGCAGAGGTAGGTGGATCTCTGTGAGCTCGAGACCAGCCTGGTCTACAAGAGCTAGTTCCAGGACAGCCTCCAAAGCCACAGAGAAACCCTGTCTTGAAAAACCAAAAAATAAAAAATAAAAAAAATAAAAATAAAAATAAAAGCAGAAAGCAATGGAGTAATGTACACTTAAGTAGCAGGCATTCACACACAAACACATAATCACTTGGGTGAAATAAACATTTTTAAATTAAAAATATTTTACATATTATTTTTAATTAGAATTCATATACGCTTCATGTATTTAGCTATTTATGCTTCTTGTATTTCTTTTATTATACATAACTATATTTAGAGCCACTTATGATTGATCAAGGGAATTTAAAGAGGAAAAACTGCCTTCAAAATTAATGCTTTGGGCTTTGTTTTTAAATCATTAATGTGGAAATTTTCTACATTTTTAGATTCTTGATATTTAGTACTAAAATATGCAAGGCCAAGAAAAGCAATGGGGCAGGGACAGGGAAGTGGGGGAGATTTTTCTCTCTGTGATTCAACAGCCATGAATTGACTTTGTTGTTCAAGGTCAGAAGCCAAAGGCCCTTAGCCTTTGGAGCTCAAGCATGTCTGTGTTATGCCACATTTTTAAAGTGCTCTGTACTTTGACTTAGCCAAAATATTAGTCCAATTCTGAATATATAGTTTGTCAATAAATAATAAACACTTTGTGTCTGAAATTGTATCTTCTTTTTCTTTCACATTTTGTCTTTGTGTTTCTGTGTCAGAAATTCAACTAACATTTTCTTACCAAGCATGAGTATTTGTATTTCTCTGCTGATACCAGTTAGAATTCCTAAATGATGTATCTAGCTGGTAAAATCATCATTGAGTTTAATCCGATATTTCCAAAGTACTGTCCACTATAAAATGTCAACATCATATATTTACCTCATTTTAAATTCTATTCTACCTAATTTTCTTGTAACCTGGGTAGGAAGAATCTCTACTGCACTATAATTTTAACACTACTATCCTCGATTTGAATTGTGCAGTGCTGCTTAAATGCCTCAAGATTTCTCCAGTTCTTTTTATAAACTCCAAATCTTGTGCTATCTTTCCTTTCTTAGGACACAAACGAGTCTGCCAAACAAGAAGATATTTTGGAGTCTACGACAGATGCTGCGGAATGGAGTCTAGAAGTCGAGCGTGTACTACCGCAACTGAAAGTCACGATCAGGACTGACAATAAGGTATCAGAGAGAGAGAGAGCACATATGCTCCAAGAAACCACCTTATAAGGTGCTTTCAGGTTGAAAACACCACAGTTTTAAGGATGGGGAGGGGTCAGTATCCAGGATGCTGGCCTGTGATTTTTCTAATGTTGAAATTATAGACATGTGCCTCATTGCCTGATCTGTGCTTTATCTTACAAGGGTTTAACGATTATTGAATGAATACTGTAATACAGTCTGAGAAGAAAAATCTTTGAAAGGATTTGAAACATATGCTATTTCACTTGGATTGAGGAATTTTTGTCAATAACTTCAATGTGATTTATTGAAAATCGTATTCTCTTGAGGTGAACTGGAATTCCGTGATGATACCAGTTGATTAGAATTAAAAGATATTTTAGAACTATTGCTTAGCATAATTTATTGTAACCTAGATGTTGTCTTAGATAATCTGTACTACAGTATATGCAACTGGAAGTTAAAGCCAGGGGCAGGATTTCTGCCTGTATTCCCAGCACTCAGATGGCTAAGGCAAGGGGGTCAAGAACTCCAGTCAATGTTAGGAAGACAAGAAATATATAATAAGACAAGGATATGGTAATTGAGAAAAGGAGCTGCTTCTGAATCAAGGTACTGTTTTGTTTCTATTTTTGTTTTCTTTGGCCTATGGCATCATAAGTAATTACTTTGGTACAAGCAAAAGCATATAGGAGAGCTGATGATCCAATTCTCACTAACAATTTTCATAATCTCTGCATAAAGAGCTTAAGAGTAATGTGTTTCCTTTTTTGTGGAAAAAAAATGCCAATTCTAGTTTTTGGATTTGTTTTGTTTTGTTTTGTTTTGTTTTGTTTTGTTTTGTTTTCCCGAGACAGGGTTTCTCTGTGTAGCTTTGGAGCCTATCCTGGCCCTCGCTCAGGCCCAGGCTGGTCTCAAACTCACAGAGATCTGCCTGTGTCTGCCTCCCGAGTACTGGGATTAAAGGCCTGAGCCACCAAGGCCCGGCCTAGTTTTAGGGTTTTATCAGAACAAATTCTCTTTATGAAATTAAAACTCACTATTGTTGTGATTCCAGATATAATAATATCTTAAAATAATTGTGTAGTTGGGAACAGTTGAATCCCAGAAGAGAGCAAATTTAGCTTGTTTACTTTCATTCTAAGTATACTCTTAGAGTCAGACATTTCATTTAGAACCTAATGGGTTTTGTGAGTGTATTTTAACTACAGTCATTGATTTCCACACACTAGAGATAACCAAGAAAGAAATGGTGTAAGCATAGCCTCTAACACCATATTGTTTTGCAGAACTATGTGTAGTTCAGATTCTAGAGTAGACCAACTCAGAATTTTGGATTTGTGAAGAATCAGTGTCCTTCTGATTTGGGAAATAATTAACTAATTTAGAATTGGATGCTGACTCTCACCACATGCTACAAGCTTAGGACGATTGACTGTGCCAAATTATTTATACAATCAAGCATATTGATTTCTCTGGATTTGGGGGATATGAGGATATTAGTTTGAATTTTGATTTTTATGGTTAAAATATACTGATCAAAGCCATACTTGATTGCTTCATCAGAATTCTTTTCTGAGTCATTCGATCCTTATGGACAGTGTTTCCCCAGCATCCTTTTTTTTTTTTTTTTCTTTTTCTTTGAGCCTTTCAGATGTACCCCCAGGAAAAGCATGGCATTAGGGTCAATATTTGTGTAGCTCAAGAAAAATGAAATTATACCATGACTGAAAAGCATAAAGAATCTAGTGACTGAAAAATGGATTGTTATTTCTCAAAAAATTAAAAAAGGGTAACCTAGATATATGTGAGTTTTCTTCTCAGACCCATTGTCACTGATAGTTGCTACAGCTTCTGGTCACATCCTACTTTGCCTCTATTCTTGATCCTACCCAAACCATGGCCTTTATTTGGTCAATAACTTTCCCTTAGCAAAGGAGACTTTGAGGCATTCAGAAATCCTTTTTATTTCATGATTGAGGGAAGAAAAAAGAAATTAAATATTTGAAGAATCAATGTGTTTTACTGGTTATGTATTAATATTTGAATAGCTTAGAGATTTTGAGAGGCACATAATAAAGGGTCTCATTATTTAAACTCATTATAAATTTATTTTAAATGACCTTACATTAGTAGTAAATAAGTTTCATATTTGTCTGCCACAGGATAATTTTTTTTCACTTTTCCTCTCAAGCTAAGTTTATTACTTCTATGTTTTCTTGTAGAGAATTTTAAAAAAAGAGAGAATCTTTTGGGAATATGTTTTTTTTTTTTTACATATTACATTTGTGCCAACCAGAATCCATCATATGCCAATGTTTTCCTTTGTAATCTTTCCATAATGGTTCAGTCGGTTCTTTTTGCTAAAGCAGCATGTGTCTGTTATATGGCACTACTTGCTATTATTGTCTGTTTCCAAAGAATAGAAACTAATTTTAATATTAGCAGAAACAAAATAGAATTAGGAAAAAGAATATGTGCCAAAAATACAAATAATGTGGTGCTCGACTAAAGACAAAGGTCTCATTGGATGCTAATCTGAATAAAATTAAAAAGCTTCAGGACAGAAAAGGAAAAAATCAAATTAAGAAATACCCTAAAGGATCTGAAAAAACTGCCAGGAAAGAAATATCCAACCTATAGGACTGGAAACTAATACATCTAACACAGAATTATTATCTAACATCTCTAAAGAACTCATAAACTTAACCAAAAAAAGCAAAAAAACAAAAGAAACAAAAAAAAACCCACCCAATCAACAAATGGGCTAATGAAACAGACAGTTCTCCAGGTGAAGTACTAATGGTCCATAAGCATGCAAAAGAAAAAAAAAGCATTCTCAGCTATCAGAGAAATGCAAATTAGAATGACATTAAAATTTTATGTCTTCCCAGTGAAAATGGCTATCATTAGCCAAACAATAACAAATGCTAGTGAGGCTGGGGCTAGTAGGGACCCTTATTCACTGCTGATGGAAATATGAACAGATGAAACATTATGGAACTCAATATGAAGGTTCCTCAGAAAAAACCCATGATGAGTAATATCATATGACCCAAGTGTACAGCACCTGAGCACATACCTGGGGGACACTAGGTCAACATGCCACAGAGACACTTGCATATCCATGTTCATCACAAGGCCTTTCACTTATGCAAGTTATATATAGAAGCAGCCTAGGTGTGCCTCAACAAATGAATGCGTCCAGGAAATGTATATATACATAATAGTTTTATTCAGCAGTAAACAAATTATGTCATTGGCAGAAGAATGGATGCTACAGGAGATCACTATATAATGAAAATGGAAAATAATAGCTCAGACAAGTATTGCATGGTATGATATAGATACAAAACTTGTGTTATGCTGGCTAGTTTTATATCTACTTGACACAAGCTAGAGTCATCTGAGAGGAGAACTGAGAAATTGCTTCCATACTAAGAGATGGTGGGCAAGCCTGTAGAGAATTTTCTTTTTTTTTTCTAGTTTTTATTTTATTTTTTATTTCAATTAGAAACAAGATTGTTTTACTTGTCAATCCCAGTTTCCTCTCCCTCCCCTCCTCCCCTAAAACCAGCTCCAACTAAAATCTTACCTATCACATACCCTTTCTACTCCCCAGGGAGGGTGAGGCCTTCCATAGGGGGTCTTCAAAGTTGGTCATATCCTTTGGGATAGGGCCTAGGCCCACCCTCATGTGTCTTGGCTCAGGGAGTCTCCCCCTATGTGGAATGGGCTCCCAAAGTCCACACCTATGCTAGGGATAAGTACTGATCTACTGCAGGAGGTCCCATGAATTTCCAAGTTCTCCTCACTGACACCCATGTTCCTGGGGTCTGGATCAGTCCCATGCTGGTTTCCCAGCTATCAGTATGGGAACCAAGAGCTCCCCATTGTTCAGGTCAGCTGTTTCTGTGGGTTTCGCCAGCCTGGTCTGGACCCCTTTGCTCATCACTCAGCCTTCTCTGCAACTGGATTCCAGTTCAGTTCAGTGATTATCTGGGGGTGTCTGCTTCTACTTCCACCAGCAGCTGGATGAAGGCTATAGGATGGGATATAAGTCAGTCATCAATCTCATTGTTAGGGGAAGGCATGTAAGGTAGCCTCTCCTCTGTTGTTTAGATTGTTAGTTGGTGTCAACTTTGTAGCTCTCCAGACATTTCCTTAGTGCCTGATTGCTCTTTAAACCTAAAATGTCTCCCTCTATTATGGTATCTCTTATCTTGTTTTCCTCTATTCTTCCCCCGACTCAACTTTCCTGCACCCTCATGTCCTCCTCACCCCTCTTCTTCTCCCCTTCTCATTCTCCTAGCTCCTTTTCCCCTCCCCCCATGCTCCCAATTTGCTGAGTAGATCTTGTCCTTTTCCCCTTCTCTGGGGGACCATGGATGTCTCTCTTAGGGTGGTCCTTGTTGCCTAGCTTCTCTGGCAGTGCAGATTATGGGCTGGCAATCCTTTGCTCTATGTCTAAAATCAATATATGAGTGAGCACATACCCTGTTTGTCTTTTTGTGATTGGGTTACCTCGCTCTGAATGGTTTCTTCTAGTTCCATCCATTTGCCTGAAAATTTCAAGGTTCCATTGGGAATGTCTCCCTCTATTATGGTATCTCTTATCTTGTTTTCCTCTATTCTTCCCCCGACTCAACTTTCCTG